TATACAGTAAGAAATCCTTTACCCTCCAGTAACGAGGAACGATGCTTATTAATTTTATATCAGTTACCGTTACCTCTAGTAACGGACAACGATGGTAACGGTAACTGGTAACTGTCACAGCCCTAGTTTCGACTAGTAATACTCGAGTAGTGCTCGTACTTGTCTTTAAATACTCGATAAATCTCCATCATGGTGTTCTGTTTAGGTCAGCAAGTCAATTTCTGGTCAAAGAGGGTCTCAGGAAAATTCGCCATTAGTCTTTGATAAAGGGTGATCGTCTATTATGGTGATTGCTCGTACTCGTACTCGAAAAATTATGTATTCGCCCACATCTATTCTAAGTGTTATAAAATATCATGTTCTATATATGTATATATCTAGTTAAGTATTTTCATATTTCATCGTCGGTACAGTTTTAACAGCTAAATGAAGAAACATCAATTTTTTCTTAAAGCCATTGTTCCACCTGTCATTTTTCCAATATCTCAGTATCGAAACAATTTCCAGTGGTGACATTGTTTTTTAAGACACATCTAATCGTCATCTAACTACTCTGAAAAACTCAGATTTTGTAACTTTATATGAATAAAGTTTGAATAAACATAGCTGATTCAAACTTACTCTGTTGACCTACTGTAAAGAAATTAAATCATTCATAATTCCGCAGGCGAGTCGCACACGCACAAATACTCTTAGACTTTTTTGTTACGATCATCGACCCTACTGATCGGCAAAATATGAGCTGAAACGGGCTTAATCACTTGAAAAGGTTCCTTCGTGCGATATGATTTTAACACGAACGCTTACGACGAGACCTCGCGAACTGTCACGTCATTTTTTCAGCCAAACCTAGTGAGTTATAGCTTATCAACTATCCTGAGTCCGAATATCATAGTGGTAACTGCCCAGGAGCCTTCGCAGAGCGGTTTTCTAGAAAACCAGTTTTTCAGAAACTCTAAAAAGTAACTAAAACCGTTCTTAATGAGGCATGATTGTGGCTTGCAAATTTCTGATTAAGATGAGACATCTCCCAGCTCTACACGACCTTTCTTTGCAAAGTTATACAAGTAAAGCCCTAAATGTCCATTGTCAGCTCAAAGCTACAGAAATAAGAAGAAATTAATTTAGGAATTTTCTTGTAAATTTTATAACTGTGCAAAGAAAGGTTGTGTAGAGCTGGAAAATGTCTCATTTCAATCAAAAATTTGCGGGCTACAATTATGCTTCATTATAAAAGGTTTTGGTCACTTTTAGAGTTTCTGAAAAACTGTTTTTCCAGAAAATCACTCTGTTTGCCCCCCTCTCCCTAGTGGTAGCTTCTCTGGGCAGTTATCACTATGATATTCAGATTCAGGATAGTTGATAACTTATAATTCACTAGGTTTGGCTGAAAAAGCGATGTGACAGTTCGCGAGATCCTCTCGTTAATCATTCATCTGAGAGTCTCGAAGGAGTAATGGCAAAATCAAAAATGTTTTTTGTTGAAAATATTTGCTTAGGTTTACATAGAAAATGATAAATTACTTGTTAAATCATCTGAAAATGCCGTTACACTCGATGACGTCATTCAACAGTGCGGGTCATTAAGCCGTTTTCAATATTTTCATTACTTCTTTCTTAATTTGATACCAATAGTAACTGGTACTATTAATTTCTTTTACGTGTATGGTGTTGCGGAACCACTTTATCGTTGTCGTTTACCTGATACTATTTGGTCGAACGATCAATATCATCCATTCAATTCTACTCACCAACATTTAATCGATGCATGGATAATAAATCAAGATCAATGTTCAATTCGAAAACCGTTGTTTAATAATTTGTCTCAGCCGAGTAATGAAACGATTGCCTGTTCAAGATGGGTGTACGATCGATCGGTATTTGGACGTACATTTACAGAAGAGGCCGATTTTGTTTGTATAAACAATATCAAACGAAGTTTATTATCATCAGCTTTACAAATAGGCGCAATGTTTACATTGTTTACCGGGTCAATAAGCGATAAAATTGGTCGAAAAAAATCGATATTGATTATAACCATTTGCTTGTTAATAACCTGTTTCATGACACAAACTTTTCTACAGTTTGTTCCAATGACAATCAATGCAAAGTTTGTAAAAGAATACGTGTTTACTTATAGAAAAAAATAACGGTTCTTTATTTAGATTTAGACTGTTACTGTTAAACCAGTTTCTATCAGGTATCGATTCTTACATGATCGTCTTTGTTTTATTAATGGAATTGACCAGTTCTACTCACACAAGTTTTGCTGGTAATCTAGCGTTGGTCGCGTTTACATTAGGTGAAATAGTCGTTACATTATGCGCTTATCTATGCAAAGATTGGTTACTATTAAAATGGACTTTAAGTTTCTTAATCCTGCTAACTGTTCCCTACTTATATTTCATTCCAGAATCGCCCTATTGGCTATATTCGAAGAAGAAATACGATCAATTAGAAATAAATTTACGTCAAATAGCCAAAACAAATCGATGTGATGAATCTAATTGGTTCCCTTCGTACCAGATGCTTAAAAAAACACTAGAAATAGAAAAAATGCCATCAAAACTGTCTCTTGGATCGAAGATCAAACGTTTGTTGACACATAGTCCAACAATGTTAAAATTGTTAATATCAGCAGCTATTGGCTTTACTACAATGTTGTTGTACATGAAGATTGCTTATGGATTAGCCGCAATGAAAGATACTAATCCGTATGTGAATATCATCATGGGAGCTCTTGTTGAAAGTGCCGGATATTTATCTGCCTGGTTACTAATGAACAAAATTGGTCGTAAACGTTCGTTTCTTGCCTATACACTGTTGACTACAGCCTGCGTAATAGTCATACAGATTACTTTGAAATATAATTCGATATTCATCATTAGTGTCGCTCAATTAGGTAAATTTGCAATCAGTGGCGCTGTTTGCGTGTCGTTTATCTATGTGCCAGAGCTGTTCCCAACAACAATTCGTTCGGGTGCATCAAGCTTCTTTGCCTGTATTGGACGAATAGGAGCTATTATTGCACCTACACTCGATGCATCATTAAATGAAAAACATTTACACATTACAACCTACATTTATGCTTTATTAGCCATTATTATACTTGGTTTAACGTTTGCTCTTCCAGAAACAAAAAATCGACCATTCGAAGCTAAAATTGATTATACAGAGAGAACGCTAAAGGAAAAGAGCACGAACACTATGAATTAGTTGATTAATTTTTCAAAATTAATAAAAATTAAGTATTTTAACAAATTTTGCTTTCATCTAGAAAAATGTAGTGTTAGATAATCAATAAAACGCTTGTCAAGCATATTATAAGCTAGATTATTCTTGAAATTAAAATAAAAGATTACCAGTCACTAAGAATTAATATGAAACAGTGATGACAGAAACAGTTCAAAAGTTTCAAAATATTTTCAAGAACGAGTGGTGAAATTGGAAACGCATTCAACTAAGACGCATTACATTAAGATGCACTTAAATGAGAATGTACTCAAATGCGATCGCACTCAAGTGAAGCCTCACCCCACCTTTTGAAGAATTGCTATTGAATCTAAAAATATACGAGATGGTTTGATCCATTCAACGAAGAGAAGTGTCTCATATTTCGAGATTTATCCCTCGTAAAAATCTATGTCAGTGGATATCCTTCTTTTTTTCTTCCGATTGTTTCTCATAGTTTTTTCACCTTTTTATCTCGCTTTCATATCGATTTTTTTAATGGTATTGTATGACAAATAATGTTTTATCTTGTCTCCTGCATTCAAGGCGTTCTTAAGAAAAACTGTCGGTTATTTTAATGTGTAAGATAAATCAATGTCATCAAAGTTATCTATATATTCTATGCTTATGAGAGAACCCAGTTTCTGCTGGAATTTGCTTGAACAACGGTATAATAGCGATAAGTTATAAAGGCAGAACCCCATTAGATACAATCGTACAATAAACTAACACTTCAAAGATACGCAGTATAACAAAATTAAAAGATTATTTAGTGAATAAAAATGTTTGCACTATATCGTTAGCTGTAGGCCAAATAGTCATGGGGCGATGTAGTCATATCCGAATGGTGAAAAACCTTTTTGTAAAAAAAGAAAAACATTGAAATACATAGTAAATATTTAAAGTACATACCAGAGCTCCGTATGGACTGGACTGAGTCCATACGGCCAGAGCTTCGTATGGACTGGACTGAGTCCATAGTCCAGTCCAGTCCAGTCCATGTGGACTGGACTGGACTCAGATTTTTTGGATTTCATGGACTCGGACTGGACTGGACTAGACGTTTTAGTCCATGGACTGGACTGCACTCAAAAATTTGAGTCCATACGGAGCTCTGGTACATACTGTAAATACGCCATCAAATCATTTCAGACTAATTTTATGAATGATATTAAACTTCATTCCTCACATTTCAACTACGCGTTAACAGAAAAGGACGGTTTTTGCTAGAAAATGGTTCAATATGATTTTGAGTGAAAATGACCAGAAATGCTTCCCTTTTCACTTCCCAACATTTCTGACTTTCAAAAATTATTTCTTATCATTCTTCTTCACCGGTTCAACGAAAACCATACACTGTGTCCATATCCTAACACTTTAAAGGAATACTTCTTTAACGCTTCTGCTCAGATCCGGAATATTTTATATATCGAAAGATAAAGAATTTTCTGGGCTTCAAAATGAACTACAATATTTTGTTTTAAAAGTTTGTCCTCATTGATCTGGATAGATATCTTGATTTTTAGCCATAGTGGTATGTGAAAATGATTACAGTTTCTTTCACAAATAGAAATTAGGAATAGTTTGTATTTAGGCAAATGCAGAATTGAGACAGCTACAAATTAAGCTATAGTACGTTGTTTCAAATGTTAAGTTTAATAGACGTTTTGGCAAAATACCAAACGCCAGGACGCCATCTTTCGCCTCTATGCGTCTTGCTATTCCGTTTGGTCAATGAAACTGTGGTGAATAAAAATTTTCTGATAAATTTATCTTAAGATACTGAGGAAGTGTACGGAGGAATTCTTCAGTAGATTAACATTCTAGACAAAATAGCGACTTGAGCAATTAGTAGTCGTTTAAACGTTTTCGTGTTTTTTTTTATCAAAGAAGCAATGCCTCGGATGAACATAAGAGTAAATAATAGAAAGTTTTAAATAAAAAATTCCAACGAATAAGGAATGATAAGATTTGAATGATTTACGCTAAACAAATAAGTAAATAAAAAAATCTAAAGTTAAGAAGAAAACAAAAGAGTAAATAGGTTTATTGTTGTCTATAGTGCAGCTGTATGCCTGTTACTATGAAGACGATACAAAGATGGACGATATTTGCTCTTAGCACATGTTAAACACTTAATTTCATCATAGAGACCCAACAATTGGAGGAGCAAATACATTTTCTTCTCTTTTTTTCGTTTTACCCAAGCAGTAGAATGAAAAAGCATGGAAACCCAAGTACGTTGTAATAACAAATTTTCCTCAGTAGATTATTCTGACCAAATTTTCTATCCGTTCTTTTCCAAAATGACTGACGATTACCTAATAACTGACTCATCGAACCAACTGCAGATTACACTTGATGAATCGGGATCGAAAAGGACATAGTTTCGTGAAAAAGTAATAATGGCACAATCGAACTATGAACAGAAAGTAACATACTTGTAAACAACTGCTATAGTTGGACAATTCACGACGATACGTTTTCAGCTAGAAGCACATTAGGGGATCGTATCTGAAAAAAACTTAAGTATAAGTCTAAGACCGACTTAAGTCCGGGGATTTAAACCGTATAACGAAAAGACTTGAGTTGGTGATTTGTTCACTGTTTTGAAAGTCGTTGCCAGCAGTGACAAACTTGAGACAAAAGCCCACAAAATAACGAAATATTTATTCACTAATCCTCAGAATGTCGTTTTCGTCGAATTGTACCGTTAAATGCCTGAGCTATTCGAAAAATGCATCAATGATTTAAATCCTACTTAAGTTTTCGGTCTTAACTTTAAGACTACATTTCTCATGATTTAAGTTACCCTTTGACTTGAAGTTTTTTTGTAATACGGTAAAACTTAAGTCCAAAGACTGAAGTTAGCAATAAAGACTTAAGTCGTAAGTTTTTTTGTGATACGGCCCCCAGACGATAACTTTTAGCAACGTTTAAATGGAAATATTGACAAAAGCAAACGAAGTCGACTATAAGTTTCAGGGTGATGCTTGACCCTAAAACAAGATATGTATGAGCTTGTAAATGATCGTACAGCCAAGGGATGCCGTTGCTATGGACTTCGACGTTTTTTTGCGGTCGTTTTTCCTTGCCTTAAATAAATTGCAAAAGTATCGCAATCAATAATTATCCATTCAAAATAAATTTGAGC